GATAAATATCCACATTAACATATGCTGCACTTCATTTAAGTACTCTGAAATGTGTCAAACCGAGCATGTGTGTAGATCATGTGTCTTTTAGGTGATCTCATGCTCAGTGTTGGTTACGTGCAACACACTGTAGTAAAGACCCAGATGACATGACAAATGCAGCGTGGGGCGTTTCTTTTGCAGGCTGCATGCTGTTTGGTGTTTATGGGTCATGGTGAAGGGGTTTTAGATGCTGGTTTGTGATTTATTGAAAAGTTGTGAAGGACTGTTTTTTCTCTTGAACTTTTATTGCAAAAGTTTGTGATGCATGTTTGACTGTATTTTTTTTATTATTTATAATTCCTTCCCAGAATGATGTAGCACAAGCCAAACTTTATTGCTCCCAGATAATGAAAACAGAGAACAAACTATATAATAATCTTAAAGTAAGTATGCTTGCTTTGTATTAAAATCTTGCAAAGGAGTATGCTATACTGGACAAAAAACTTCCATGTGCAAAGTAATGGAGCGGCAGCTTCTTAGGAGCACATCTGTGTGTTAGTAGTGTTGATGAGCTTGTTTCTGAGTCAGCAAATTCTGAACTGTTAACAATCCTCACCCATTTTTTAAAATAACTTCCTACCATAGATGAGACCAGTCCTACATCTGTGGGTATAGAACCATGAACAATTTCTAATTATGACACTGTAACTTTTTGCTTCCTTGCTACAAAAGATTGAAAAAACCCACAGCTCCAAGTAAATGCCTTCTTTAGCTGTGCTCTGCCCACTTCAGGCCTCCTTCAGCCCTACAGACCTTAGCCACATGTGTGTGTACAACAATTTTTTTGTTTACTTGCACAGTCTGTAACCTCAGAGAAAGTGTACTGCATGTGCCATGTAAGCGACCTCTCTAAGCTATGGCAAAACCCACTTTATTCAAGAACAGCTAATGCAGCTTCATCAGAGGAGCTCTACCTTCAGACTCACCCTTCCTTTCCAGGTCCCAGCTGTGAAAAAAAAACAGTGAGGAAATTGATCATTCCATCTGCTTTCTTTGTGATGAATGGATTTTTATCAGTGCAGCATCTGGAAATGTATTTTGTTCTGCTTTGCCTCATGTCTTTCTCAAACACTTTTTTAAAAAATGTACATTCTGATGAATGTAACCACCACTATTTGTGTGGTGTATTTTTATTTTATTTTTAAGGTTCTTGTCCAGCTCAGATCTGGTTTGCTAGAAGAAGTAATAAAGACACTAGAGGCAGCAATAGAAGTAGATACTCCTCCCTTTGTGAAAAAACTTGAGTTTTCTGAGCAGGTGGTAAGTACGCAGTAATGGTACTTGACTGAGACGTGGTAATGGTGGTACCTACAGAACCTCCGGTGCCTAAGTTCACCCCACTGAAGTTGTTTGGGTTCTGATGCCAAAGCATCTGTCTGGCTTCCTGTACTGTTGGACAAAACGCTTAGCTGTTCACTTTCCATGGTCTTGCTCCTGGAAGCTCATACTTCATTTGAATGTGTAGGCTTCAAGTGAAGCCTACCCTAGTGGCATTAAATAATTTAATCCCTTGCTTTCTATGTTATTTTCGTTTGATATGAAAATGAGAGTAAAGTTTCTGATCACAGTGATATTGTTAGATTGGTAATATTTGCAAAGATCTGTGCTATACAGGGAAGTGTGATATGAGAAATAGTAACTTTTGGTATTTAACTGTGTTTTACTGTGAAAACTGTTTTTACAGTCTTGATCAGCAAGAAGACTTTCTCATAGCACATATGTAGCCTCTATCAGTTTGTCAGCATTGCTGCTGCTTTTCCTGAAACTCATCAGTGAATTCCTTTTGAATGTGCCTGTAGAACAAGGCAAGAATAATTAAATACTTAGCCATTCACTGCTGCCTATTAAACAGAATTTGTAACTGATATGTAAAATATCACGTAGAAGGGGGATATTCCTCTCAAAGTATAGCCCATTTATATTAACTGCTGTGTCAAAAAGAAATTCTTTAAGCAGCATTTCGTTTTGTAAAGTCTTTGCAATAAATGTTGCATGCGTCAGTGTTATGTTTTGATTTTGTTTGGGAAATTTGTAACAAGCATAAAAAGACTAAGCATTAGTCCTAACCCTTCCCTTTCACAAAAACTTATGGATAAATAACGTTTTTTTAAGAGATTTACTTAACACTTGAGTTCATACTCTGTGTATGGCATACAGAACTTCTCAGTTCTGTAGACTGAGTCTGTAATCTGTCAGACTCTATAGTCTGACTTATTGATTTCTTCTGTACTGTACATTTACTGAGATGCATAATAATAATTAGAATTGTGCTGATCTGAAAAGTAGATTCCAGGAAGCAATTAAGTTTCCTGGATTTAAATAGAAAATAATTGTGTTATTCTGAACTAGGACTGAAAATAGGACTGTACAACTTCGAGGAAGTTTTAAATGTAATAAACCCTCTCTGATAGGTATCCGGTGCATTTCCACCATTGTGTGGTGATGCATAATGTGTGTTCCATAAAATCATTGCCTTAGCAACCTATCTTATGCTGTGTGTTTGTTTGTTTACGATGAGTGATTGCTTGTCTTCAGTATGATGGTAGAACATGATCTTCACTTGCTGAACTGTAACAATATGTAAATTTCTCTTCCTCAGCTGGCTACAGTCAGGGAAAAGATGGAAGAAAACCCTAACCTTTCTGTCAAATTAGGAGATATTTATACGAAACTACAAGCTTCTGGACAGATTACCATGTGCACACTAGAAGACATGCTTTTCCAGATTCCTAGTTCAAAGAAGACTACTGCAAAGCTTTTAAGTCAGAAGCAATTGGGCTATCAGGCTGCTAATCCACTTCAGTCAAATCTGTTGTTGGAATAGTGCAGTATATGGTGGCAAACTGAACTGCTGATAGCATCTCTTAGAAGCCAGGTTCAAATAAAATGTCTTCTCCCGATTTCCACAATGAGCAAGTGACCTCTTCTAATTTTCTGATATTAAGCTTCCCAGCGTAGCAGATCTTGGCACAAATTTGCAAAGTTTCTTAGAGCAAGTACGATCAAATTTTTAGACTATAATGACTGTGATGGCTTTAATGGCTGCAGATCAAATGTGCTTGATCTGTGAGTCCTGTATACCCAAAAATCTGTACTCACTCACCATCCAGAATAGAAGGAGTTGGAAGCAGTTATACCTTGGCTGGCCTTTGCGTGCTTTTGGTTTACTTCTGCCTATGAAGTGATGAACCTGTTGATACAGAACTTGGCAGTCCTGTAAGCACTAGACTAGTTGGAGCCCAGCTTGGTACTCATACTCTCCAAGCTGGGCTGCATGATCTCTCCTCTGGATTCTGTTCTTTTTATTTTGTCTCTGCCCCAGTCGAACAATGTCAGAACTCACAGTATACTTTCTGTGAATGAATCTGTGCATGCTACATCAAACTTTGTTGAAGCCAGTGAGGCACTGTGAAGGAACAAGAACCCATCCATGCAGAAACACAGCTTCAAAGAAAATGTGGCTACAGCACACCAGAGGTTTCTGTCTGAGACTCTCTCTGATTTGTTGCTGTCGCAATATGTCCTGCTAATACTAAAATGCACAAAAACTGTTACACAGTAGAGGGAACTTCATACAAGTGTAAGTGAAGAATCATTTGAAGTGTGTATTACATTTTTGTGAATCACATGCACACTGTTTATGAGTGGTGGCATGAACTAAATACTACATACATTAGTCTAAGAACACAACTATTACTTTTTCTGTAATATTGTGTAGCACATAATTCCACATATGGTTCAGGAGTAGAGGTTTTTAATGCTTTTCCCTCAGTTGGAAATTCTTTCAAGGTTTCTTTCAAATTCTTACAAAACTATATGAACCCTTGAGAAGCTCCCAGTCTTTTCTCCACAAATAAATTTGATATGGGATTTGTTAAGGCTGCTTGCATTATGGCAAGGACTAGTGGCAAAAAATGTGGAGGGATTAACTACTCCTCAGTTTACTCCATTGGTATTATCAGGACAACTGTCTGATGTCATCCATTACTATCAGGACAGCTGTTCGATGCTAAGTTTATAAATGCCACATCCATTTAACCTTACACAGCAAATATGTAAAGTCAGTTCTGTATTAATTACAAGAAGTTGGTGCGTCCTGGGACTGCATGTTTGCTTGTTCATTCAAATCTGAATTGGATAGCTTCCTACCTGAGGCTGTATCCTACCTGCAACTGAAGTAATGACAACTTCTATTAAAATTGTCAATATACCTGATGTTTCCATTCTTTGTTCTCTTGGCTACCTGTTTTCTTGAGGTTTATTTACTCCAAGTAACAAATTGATTTTTTTTAAGAAATAACATGTCTTTGTCTTAAGAGAGGAGATACCCTTAAAAAACTAAAAATACTTTAATAGAAGAAGAAAGCAGGGACTCAACAAAGGTTAAAGAATACATTCAAAGAAACACACACAGAATTCAGACATTTAAAATTAGAATATTGAATGTTGAAGTGTTTAAGAAGACTGGTAACATTATCCCTCAGAAAAAAGAAAGCTGGGAAAAATAAGCAACTTCTAATATTTATGCAGCTGATTTTCAACAAAGTCAAATTTGTGTCATACAAGGTGCAGAGACTTGTTAATTGGGAAATCTTGGATTTGAGTGATTATTTATGAATTTGTATTTTGGTGCATCAAGGTCCTAAGCACACTGGCTTTTGTGCTGAAAAGTCTTCATCCTTGTGCTTAGTTGACTGTTATTAGATTGTGCTGACTCCTGGTTTCCAAGCACCCAAGAACAGGAGACCAAACTTGTCTAGAGATAAGCAAATACTTAGGGATTTTGCTGGGTCAGAGTGGCTGTAATGCCAAGGGCTGAGTTACTAGACAGTTTTTTTGGAGACAGCCTCAGACAATAGGATCCACACTATGTTATTGCAGCTTTTAATAATTTTTTTTTCAATTATGAACCTTGAAATAAAAGAGAATTCAACATTCTTAAATTCAATAACAGGCTTTTTTTTTTTAACAATCTGGAAAAAAACCAAGGCATTTACATTTAAAAGTGAATTGCTACATTTTTTTCTCTAGGTTTCACTGCAAGAGATTCTGTAGGAAGTGCTGCTTATGTAGTAAGTAGCTCAGATGAGGATCTGAGGCCTCTTTTGGGACCTCTTGTGTGGAAAAGGATTGCTCCTTATCATATTCAAATGTTCTTCGTCCAGTAAAAGACAATGTGATTTTTGTGCATGTCCTTGCACCCCAGCAGCTTTTTGGAGCAGTGATCCAAGAGACAGCAGGTGGCGTTTCTTGACCATACTTTGCTGCCAGTGTTATTTCCAAGGATGAACTCGCCTGCAGTGTCACTTACGTAAAGGCAGGGCAGAATGAGTGGTCTGCCCTATGTTTAATGCATGCCATGTTAAAATGGAAAATCCAGGCAACAGTCGGCTGCCTCAAGTGGTCGGTGATGGTTGATGATGACTGCAGACCTGAAGATTTGCAGAACTTAATTTGAAACTTTTCTGCATTTATTGAAACAACTCATGATCATAATACATTTTTTACAGTATTGTGTAACAATACTAATTGATGACTAGAAGACAGGGTGTTGATATTCTTCTTGTACACCAGTGACAGTTATACAGGCTTTACCTTTAAGAGAAAGTTGGGCACTGACTTGAATTGTAAAAGCATTCATTTTTACATTCAGATGTGATCTGGATTTTGTGCAGTCTCTAAAGGCCTGACATTCCTCTGCTGTAGATGCTTCTGCTTTTCTCCATGAGTTAATACTTTGTTTTTCATATTTCTTTCCACAAATATCCTGAGTCTTGGTGAGGGAGGATCACTTTCTTTGTGCTTCTCCCAAGTTAATTTTCTGCTTCAAAACAATAAAAGTGGAGGTGAAAGGCTTAGTCATTGCAGGAGTGGCTCCAGGCCTTAAGAAGAGTTTTCATGTGTTTAATGAACCTTCTATAGGAGTTTAAGTAACATGAAGCAAAGACTTGTTAGAAGTTTGCAGCCGTATGGAAAATAGGGAGACGTACAGAATATAACTGTGCAAATTTCCAAATCATATGACAATCATGTGCTCACAAATAGTCATGATGGTAGCTAGTCTGGTAATTCTACCTTTCAGACTGGAAACCACTGAATTTAGCTAGACTTGGTATAATAACAACAAGGTGGTCTTGAGAATCAGCAATGATCCTGTGCACATCCTAAATGAGCATGAATAGTCTTTTCAACAGTTCTTTTCAGGACCTGTGGTATATGGTCAAATATAATTCCTTTTTCGGTGGGATAAGATCAACATTGTATTGCTACTGTGATTCTCCTAGACAAAACCAGTGTCCTCAGCCTTCAACTCAAATATTTAATTGCAAGATTATCCAGTTAGACCTAGAATTATTTCTCCTTTTCTGGTTCATTTGAATATGATAGTCCTCCTGTTATTTTGGCTTGAGATGCTGGTACAAAGTTTTCACGGACAGCTGACTGTGAAGGCTATCAGTCTTCTGAAACTTCACAATTTACGAGGGTAGAGGAAAACATACATCTCAAATAAGCTTTTTTCATAATATCAGTAAGAACAGACCATTAGAGAAATGGTCTTCATGTTTCTTGCCATCTTTGAAGTAATTTAAGGGGTCAGCTTTCTACATACAATATCAAAGCAGACAATGGTGTACACTTGCACCATTTCACCAGCAGGCTGCTCTAGTTTTCTTGACAAAAAGCCACAGCTCTATGTTCAAGTAATAACCACTACCTTCAGGAATAAGAAGAAAAAGGTGCACTCACTGTTGTCAAACACAAACCTTTGACCTAGCTGCCTGGGCTGATGGTATCATTGACCAGGCAATGTGACACTTTTTTGCCTGGAACTGCTGTGACTCTGTTCCTGGAGTCACAAGGGGATATGTGCTCGCAGCAACCTGCCCCTGCATCCACTCCAGCACCTAGTCCAAAAAAGATGTTGTCCTCTTATTTCACATTAAGGGCTTTCTTTTCAAGGCTTTGTATTCTAGCTAAACTGTAAGAGGAACTTTTCATGTGCAGTTTCCCTAACTTGTAAGCTGGTAATTGTTTTCAGTTTCAAAGCAGTTAAGGGAAGTTTGTGGAGTCTCAGTCCAACTGACCAATATAAGATGCTTGAAGAGAGATTAGAGCCTCATCCATATCCAGCAGAAACTGCAAAATCAAAATGAAATAGAAAATTACCCATCTCCAGTCTTGCGTCTGCTATGCAATTCAGGCTAGCAGATTATCACATTTACTTTCGGAACAGGACATGTCTTGTAGCAGGAGATGTGGCTGCACCAATCTCAACAGAAAATTTTAGGAAAGAATCATGGAAAAGTAATAACATTTGGAACAGCTGAGAGAATGCAGCGAGAATTCCCAAGTGTGATGGTTAACCCCAGTCAGCAACCAAGTACCACAAAGCCACTTGATCACTCCCCCACCTGTGGAATTCGGGAGAGAATCAGAAGAGTAAAAGCAAGAAAGAAGTCCTGGGCTGAGATAAAGACAGTTTAATAGGGAAAGCAAAAGCTGCTCGCACAAGCAAAGCAAAACAGGAATCCATTCACTGCTTCCCGTGGGTAAGCAATGCCAAGACAGTTCTCTAAGAGAGCAGGGCGCCATCATGCATAGTGCTTACTGGAGAAGACAAATGGCATCACCCTAAGTGTCCACCCACTCCTCCTTCTTCTCCCCCCTTTATACACTGAGCATGATGTCATATGGTCTGGAATATCCCTTTAGACATTTTGGGTCACCTGTCCCAACTGTGTCTCCTCCTGGTCTCCCACACACCCCCAGTCTCCTCACCACCGTGGCAGTATGAAAAGCAGGAAAGGTCTTGGCTCTTTGTAAGTGCTGCTCAGCAATAACAAAAACATCTCTATATTATCAACACTGTCTTCATCACAAATTCAAAACACAGCCCAATACTAGCCAAAACCAGCACACCAAGTAACAACTCCGTGGTAATTATTTCATCTATAACTACTTACTAGTGCTGTAACATTTCTTTCAGCTTTGTGACAGTAAATGGACCTTCCTCTGGATGGTAGGATTTTAACAGTAGGGGTTTTTGCTGCTGACTTAACTGTTTGAGAGTGGTTCTGCACTCCTTTCAGCCACCATATGCTGCAGAACTAGAGACAGAGAGTCCAGCATAACTTGTTAGAACGGGAAAGGGAATCAGTTCACAAAGTCACTTTACATAATTAAAAAAGTGCTAAGAATGGTTAAGCATGAACAAAGTAGTTTGAGAAACTTCTCATCCTCCTTCTCTATAGTACCATCACTTGGGGAGGGGTAAAGGGAAGGGGGGAAAAAAAGGAGAAATAAAAGGCAGAGAGATTGTTGAGAACTTCTTCTTTATGTTTGAAGCTTTATCAGTTCTCACATCAGAATGACAGAAAACGAGAACTGTAATGGAGAAAGGATGATGCATCTACAAAATAGCTGTAGTGGTTAAGTACTTTCAGGGGAAATTCAGACCACAAAATTTGCTCTGCTGCACTTTTACTACCCTTTGGAAGGGTTTAAGATCTGTAAGCATTGGCAAGTAAAAGTTTTTAAAAATTCCTCACAAAATGCTGAGACAAATGTGTGCTTGAATTTAGAAAAGAACCCGTGGTGGCTGTAGCCCTAATGCAGCTCTTTATGGACAGCCACACAGGTGAAAACATCAGCATGTCAAATTTCAGACCTGAAAGTTTACACCATATACATTTTTGCATGGGCTCAACTGGTCAGCCTGCAAGGCATTTCTCACTTGATTTGCCATGTGTCTTTATCTCCTGTGGGTATCCAGACAAAATAGTTTGCTATCTTGAAGAATGTGATGGAAAAAGTGTGGTGCCTTGTCATATTTACATTGCCAAAGACAGTTTTGTATTTTTCTTGGTTTACATGTGTTTGTAACCATGTTAGTGACACCTGTGTCTTGGGTTGATTTTTTTTGTTTCTTGCAAGCTAATCACAGAACTGTAGAGTAACTTAAAATGGAAGAGTTTTCTGGAGGTCATCTTGTCCCACCCCTCATTATATATCAGCAGAGAATTGCACTGAAACATTAGGTCAGAGAAAGGAAATTAAAATCCTTGCCTGTGCAACTGTAGCCATATGGGTGCAGCTCCCTTTTCTGCTAGTGGAACCAAGCTTGTTCTGTCATTTTTTATTCATTTTAAGAGACATATATTTTCAGTTAACTGTCTTGCTTCGTACCTGGTTACAGCTAGCTCTTGTTCCTACCTATTCCTAAAATGAGTGTGTTTTAAGTACGGGCTGAAAACCTCTCCAAATCAGGGCCTGCACTAGTAACTAGCTTTTATTGTTTTCTCCCTAAGCCAGGATGCCTAAAAATATCCTCTGAGCTCCAGGGAGTGGAGCAAAGAGGTGTTCTTGCATTGAGAGATGATTTTAAGTAACTCACTCTTGTAGCACCATTCTATTCTGCCCACATCTATTTTTTATGTACTGGCTAAATAGTCTCGCTCTGCTACAGGTGAATCTACAATTAAATAATACACAATTTGAAGTCCCATTTATTCCATTAATGTTCTTTTTATATTTACACAAACTACTTTTAAATGTCTTTTACTTGGAGTTAGAGTGTATGCATAACTTCCTGAACCAAGTCAGGACTTCCCAAGTCAGTTATTTAATGGAGCGCTTATATAGTTAGCCCATTTTTCCCTCTAAGTCCTAGGGATTGGGGTGTTAGTGATGTTTTTCCCAAAGATACTTGTCTAAAGAGCTCTTGCCAAATCATGATGACATATCTAGAAATATCCAGATCAAGGAAAGACTTTTCACAGTGCCAAAATAGCAGCAAAATAAGAAGCAATATCCCACTATGGCTCTGATTATTCCTGTGTGAGTGTGTGTTGTGTCTAAAGCTTATGAGCAATATTGGACTTGCTGTGCTGCCTCCTCTCCTTTGCTCAGGTTTGGATGTCCAAATAATAATTTATTTTCTCCACAGATCTGAGCAGTCAGATGTTTTCTCTGGTCCCAAGGTGTCAGGTTTCTTCTCTCTTGTGCTCACATATAAAGCCAGGTGTGATTTTTTTTTTTCCCCTGCATTGTGTTCTGCTCGATCCTGTAACTTGCCTGTAACTTACCGAGAGGTCTAACACTGTGCTCAATTTGCCAATTATCATCCATGTTATTATAGCATTTTGCTTGCATAAATGCTTAGTCTTCCTGTTAGCTGCAGGGAATAATTTACACATGTGGTTTTTGTCTTTTAAATTTTCAAGATCATTCTTATAAATAGTGAGTCAGGCCATTAGTGTGTGTTTTGAACAAGACTGCTCATATAATTAGTCTAGACATTCATGTAGACATCCCGGGAGCTGCAAGTTAAGAGTCATACTGAGTTGTTCTTCCATCTGTTTTCTTAATATATCCATCCTTAAACTTGCAAGTTCAGAAAGGAGACCTGTGCAAATAGAGTGGTGGGGAAGAGAAAGCAAGACCTGCTTCTCCATGTCAGAAGAAAAACACACCACTGGGTGTTTACTTCATCAGAGCTGTTTTCCTATCCTGGATGTGGTCACAATTCCTGATGTGACTTAGGGCAAATCAAAGAAATGAAGAGTAGTAACAAATCATCTGGTTCCAAATTTATGCCGAGAACATTTCCCATCTGCTTCAACACCTGTGACACCCTATTAAATAGCCCAATATGCTTCCAATAAATATATTTTTTAAAAGAAAACATATAGAAAATTACTGAATGCTGAATAATTGAGCCAGTTCCACTATGCAATGCAATACCTTAGAAAATTTCCTGTGATTGTCGTGAGGGACTGCCATGTCTTTCTGATTCTGAGCACAAGAAGAGATATATTCTCAATATGCTGCTACGCCCATGACCAATAACTCGTGTGAGAACTGAAATCTGTTCCTTGGGACTACCTGAGATAATTTAGCCATCCTGATTCCTCAGTTTCTAGACAGACTGAGGGTCTGAGAAGTAACATTTATGTGATGGGATTATTCGATGTATTTTAGAAGCAGTTATATATTTATAGCCAAGCTTTTGATATCTGCCTCAGTTTTTAAGATATCATCTCTGGAAATTTAGGAACAGAATTTCAGATACTGTTCCACATAGATTTTCTATACTGTCTGGCATCTCGGAAAAATCAAACAACGTAAGGTGTCCCAAAAATGAGGCCCATCAGACTGGATGCCTTTTGTAAAAGTGTTGTTGACAGCTTTGACTGCAAGTTATCTCGGTGTCTTCCTGCTGTGAAATGAATTATATAGCTCCTGGCAGTCAAGTCACATGCCCACTGTAAGTGTTCTTAACCAAATTGTTTTACTATGTAAACTCTTCTTTGTGCCAGAAATAGAGGTGTAGAAGGATGACGGGAAGTGATCTGATCTTGAATTTTTCCTACATGCCTTTTAAATCCAAAGATCCTGAAATCTTGGAAATTAACCTGAAAACTTCCATGAAACATACCATATCTTGAAACATACCATATCTTGAAACAGAAGTAATTTTGTATTACCGTATCTCAGTAGGCTTCATTCAGATATGTGAAGACCCTGGGTTTCTGTAAAAACTCAAGAAAAATATGGAAGCCAGACCTCCACTGGAATAAGTTGCATGTTACTTCGCTTCATCTGAGCTCTGATTACTTCTGCTGTTAGAGGATTTTCCATTGGATTCCAACACCAAGAACCCAGTCTGAAGACCTTGTAAATGTGGTTTAAGGCCAGCTCAGTGAATGTTATTGTTTAAACAATACGGAGAACCTTATTGAGTAAGAATGTTTCCTGTTTCCCTAAATGACCTTAAGGGTAAAAATGAAAGGATAAAACTGAGAATATCAGACATTTTTTAAAAGTACTAGAGCACTCTAGTACTTTTTGAGTACTAGTGCTTGTCTCTAGTACTTTTTGAGTACTAGAGACAAATTAAGTCCAGGAGTGTAGAAAAACCCACAGTAGATTCACAATTTATTGCACAAAGCTACTGTTTGCCTTGTCTAATTTAACTTATTTTCTTCATTGTGTAAGTGAATAAACCCCACATTTTTTGGTAAGATTTATGCCTCATCATTGGCAAGGTTGTTTTGGAATGCCAAGGAAGCCGTTCTCCCGGTATTGATCTTTATCTGTGCACAGTTTTCTCTTTCTCACCTGCCTCAGGCTTTGCCAAGTAAGATAGGAGGCAGAAATTTTTACCTTTGCTATAGACCAATCTTTTTTTGTGGATCTCACAAGTGCAGCTGCTGCTGCTTGTAGATGTAGCCGTTCTTTGTTTTTTCTTGTTTCTTTACATTTATGAATAAATTGAGACTCTGAATTCACCATTTTTACAGAAAAATGGTGCTAAAGATGTCTTGCTAAATCTGAACCCTCCTGTGACTTTTTGTGTGAAGGTAGGGTGAGACTATAATTAAGTTTACTGATGGATTCAAGTGTTCAAGAACTGGTGAGGCCAAAGGCCCTAGGGCTGAGAAAAGAAAATGTTCTGCTTGCATACTCCACTGAAGCTGGCTGGTGCTTTGTGCACTTCCTCTTGTTAATGAAAAATGTGATATTGCTCTTCTGGCATAGAACAACCTTTTGTGTGCTTAAGCTTTACATTGTAGTGTTAGGCTATAAATTTCAGCAGCATGGACAGAAACTGGGCAAATCCACAGAAGAATATTTTGCTGTTTCACGGACCAGGTAGTTGCATGTGCACTTTGAAGCATGGTAGATGAAATAATGTGAGATCAGCTCACATTACAAAGCATTTACAGCTGGAATCAGACCTGGCCATACAGATATCATCATGCTGAATTAGCAGCAGCAGAAGACAAATGAAGGTAAGACAAAGCAAGAACTCTCCAGGTGTTGCAAGAAGAGCTGTATCTCAAAATCCTGTATGTCAAATATAGAGTGACCAGTCTGAGCAAACTCTGTCTACACAGGAGAAACATTCTTCAGCTGGGAACCCAGACTAGTAGTGCTAGTTGTGCTGGCTATTCCACAGAACAAAATCTATCCATCTACTGAAAAAAAAAATTAAAAATATATACATATATAACTAGGAAACAATGTTTCATCTGGGAAATAGTTACTTTAAATTTACTGAGTCCACTGTGTGACACATAAATAAAATTAATTCTTTACATACTGT